GCGCAGCATCTGGAGCACAAACTCAAAGACCAAGACGCCCTCATTCGCAGGATGGCGACGGAGGTGGAGATGTTGAAACGTCAGATTAAGGGAAAGGGTGTTGCTGGAGAGGGCAACCTCAGTGAGCGCACCCCGTCCCCCCGTTCTAGCAGTCGCCGCCAGGAGAGGACCCACTCTCTCTCCATCACTAGGAACTATGGGGTTGGAGATTCCGACCGAAGGGAGGGCAGGTCCCTCACTCGAGACAGCACATACTGTCCCTCGCGCTCGTCTCCGACGTCGCGATACTCTTTCTCCATCCGTTCCAGAGACCTGAGGGATGTATTAGTGGAGAGGGCGCACCGTCGAGAGGCTTAGAGAGTGCCTGTGTGGCAGAGATTGAGCGCCCCAGTTCACTGTAGCGAAGAAGTGGCGATGCCAGCACCCAGAGTGATGGCCCATGCGCCAGTGGACAAAGAGCTGACGAGACTTACAGCCACGCCATTGTCTCCGGAGATCGAGAGTACGCCACTCTCTGCCGGATTCCACCAGCCTAAGTTCACCTTGTACGACGGCAAAACGAATCCGTACATGCACGTGAGTCATTACCGGCAAGTAATGGCTGGCCACCGGCGCAATGACGCCTTGATGTGCCTCATATTCCCAGCAAGCTTGGGAGAACTGGGCCTGAAGTGGTTCGAAAGGCTTCCAGAAGGGAGTATAGAGGGGTGGTAGCAACTAGCGGAAGCCTTCGTCACTAGATTCAAAACCAACACTCGAACGCCAAAGGAAGTCGATCATCTTCTGGGCGTCAAGATGGAGTCAGGGGGTTCATTGAAGGCATACAACGCGAGGTACTGGGAAACTTACAATGAAATCCTTGACTGCCCTACCAATCTGGCGATCACTCAATACAAGCGGGGTCTCCCAGTCGGACATAGGCTGCGGGATTCGCTCACAATGCACCAACCCACAACTATGGAGTCCTTGATGCAGCGGATCAACGAGCACATTCGTGTGGAGGATGATGCCGCCTCCGCGACCGAGAAAGTTAATCCGGTCACAGCGGACAAAAGGGTAGCGGGGAAAGTTCACTCGGTCGGGCAGGAGGATAACCGCCCAAGCGACCGGCCAAAAGATCAACGACGTGGCCCAAGCCGCGATGACAGAAACAAGGGTCGCAGAAACGACCGAGCTGACGCTCCTCGTGATGCGGCGGAGGATGCTAAGAGAAGATTGAAGGCGCGGACTGGAATCACCACGGTCTTTAAAATCCCTATCTACCGCATCTTGAGTGAGATCAGAGGCGAGCCTTTTGTCCGCTGGCCGGCCAAGTTGGGGAATACACAGAGAGGCTTCAACTCAAGGTATCGCTGCACCTTCCATGAGGAGCGGGGACACCGAACGGAGGACTGCTTGTCGCTCAAACAATATTTGGAAGAGCTGGTAGCCACGGGACATCTTGACCAATACATAGATGGGGGTATGAAAGCCGTGCCGTTGGGGCAAACCGAGCCAAACGGCCTAGCTGCCCTAGAGGCCGCACCCCAAGGCGTAATCAACGTCATTCACGGTATCGTTGAACCAACAAGGGTCTGTGAGCTCAGAGGGATGATTAAGAAAGCCGAGCACATGAGGGAAGTGCTCTTTGTTCGACCCGCTGTGAAGAAAGGGAAGACCGAAGAGAATGACATTCTTACCTTTTTGAGCAGGGACTTGGAGCGGATCCAGATGCCCCACAATGACGCCCTAGCGGTAACTCTTTGCGTCAAAGACTTTGACATCAAGAGGATCTTGATCGACCAAGGGAGTTCGGTCGAAATTGTGTACTATGACGCGTTCAAACAAATGAAGTTGGAGGACAAGGACTTGGCCCCTACGACGTCACCTTTGGTTGGCTTCAACTCTCATCCAGAATGGCCGGTAGGGAAGATCATATTGCCGGTCAAAGCGGGTTCAGTCACGAAGCAAGTAGAGTTCTGGGTGCTCAAAGTCCCATCCACCTACAACTTAATTTTAGGCAAGAGCTGGTTGCACGCCATGCAAGCAGTAGCGTCGACTTACCATCAGGTCTTGCGCTTCCTGGCGCCAAACGGACAAATAGAGGAAGTCTGGGGAGACCAGGTGATGGCGAAACAATGCTTCGTTGCGGTAAATGGCAGCCGAGCAGCTAAAGGATTTGTCCAAATGATTGAGGGACCCGAGGGAAAGGAGGTCCTTGAAGACGTAGGAAGAAAGGCCGAGGAAAAATCGGTCG